CCAGATGGGACTTTCTCTTAGGCGCATGGTTTCACAAGCTCCTGTTCTTTGTTCATTTGGCTTTGGCGTATCCTCACTCAGGGTTTGGGTGGATGATCCTGCTGAGGTTCTGGGGCACTGCAAACTCACTTTGTCCTATTGTGAAGAGGGGAGTGGAGGCCACAGGACTTTTCCTGTTATTCTCTAGTCTACCTTCTCCCTCCCCTTCTCTCCTCCCTTCCTCTGGTGAGTGCTGACTCAGGAACAGTGTCCCCCGCTTTGGCCATTGACACAGCTCAACCAGTGGACAATGGGTCTCCATGTGCAGCTGGTGCAGCTTGTGCCACCACGCCCAGGGCCTGACAGGGCCCGGCAGACCCTGACCCTGCTGCTCGGCCTGCCTTTAAGTCAAGCTGCTTGTCCATTTTGGGCACGGCAGTAGCCTGGTGCTCCTGGGAGACACTGACAGGCTAATGAGGAAGAGAGGTCTGGGAGGGGCGGAGGCCACCATGAGTGAGCAGGCTCTGGTCAGGCACTTTACACATATCTTTCCTACTAAACTTCACTGCCCCCCCATATCCCTATTGCTTTGACCTCCCTGCTCACAACTGCCATCTGCTCCCCAAATTCTCAATGATGTTTTTTTTTTTTCTATAGCACCTACCACCTTCAAACACACTTTATAATTTTAGTGATCCATGGTGCTTACTGTCCCTGCCTGCCCCCGCCCTAGCTCCGCATCAGGCGTGAGCTCCATAAGAACAGGCATCTTTGTTTCTGCTCTCTGACGTAGCCGTGCCCAGAACGGTGCCTGCCCGGCAGCAGCTCTCAATGAGTCTTTGTTGAGTGACTGAATGGTGGGGCAGGGACATGGCACTCGAGCACCTCTGAACTGCGCCTGGCACTCTGGATCAGAACCAGAAGATCTAGACTCTCATCTTGTGCTGCCACCCCAAGCACCTTATGATCGAGGACAAATCATCAAACCTCCCCCCACACCAGCCAATAAATTGATTCTTCCCCTCCCCCAAACTGAGTAACATGAACCTCCTGGGACAATTAGGAGACTATATGCAGGAAAGTTCTTTGTAAACTGGCTTAAGACACACACACTAAATGAACAGGTATAGCTATGACCTTGCTGGAGGGAGCTCCCAGGGGGCACAAAGGCCATTCTTTCCTCATTCTGGCGAAGGGAGCAGGAGGAAGGAGCCCAAAGACATTTCAGGTCTAATAGCCATGAAGACAGCGGCAGCTCGAGCCTCCCCAGTCCCCCTGGTGTTTGCCGCCCTGACTCACTCCCTGCTTCCATCAGTCTTCTCATACATATGGAACAACATCTGTCCCTTTTCTAGGTTTCTCCCCCAGAGTTAATCTCACCAAGGGAAAGGTTGGTCTCTGACATTTATGACACTGGGTTACTGCAACCAGCCCATCAGGTGCAGAGGGCTTTTCACTATTGCTTATAATTATCCTTAGGATTGAAATGGCTTTGTAGCCAGGAAACAAAATGTCCCTTTATAAATTCCAGTCCCTTTCTGATAGGTGAGAGTTTGGTACACACATCTGTCTACAAGGCAGGGCTTTATGAGATTATATTTCAAAGGTGTGCTTCTTTTGTTTTTTAATGAGATCAAAATGTTCCACTAAATTTTTTTTCACCTGAGCTTTTAATCATACATGAAAGAAAGAGGCCAACTAGCTCCTGGCCTATGCAAAGGTCTCCAAGGACAGCTTAGTGTTTGGATGATAGCAATTTGTGATGGAGAACTTGACCCTGGAAGACGAGGATGGACTTGGGGGCTATTATAACTATGATTACAGTAGCTTCCATAACTCGAGTGGAACAAATACAAATGAGTGACCGCAACACTACAATCTCCAAGAACAGTTTCTCAAACTGGGGTAAGGAGTCCTCAAATTCTCACCCATTAGCAGTCGGGTGAGAATGACTCTCCATCTTCTTCCCTAGTACCTGGCAACCACAAATCAATGTTCTGTCTCCATGGATTTACCTACTCAGGATATTTCATAAAAGTTGAATCATATACTCTGCAGACTTTTGTGCCTGTCTTAACATAGCATGTTTTCAAGGTTTATCCATACTGGGGGATGGATCAGTTCTTAATTCCTCGTATGGCTATATAATATTTCAATATCTAGATGCACAACGTTTTCTTTAATTTTCCATATATCTTTTCCTTTTTAACCCTCACCTTCCCTCTTCATATCCCTGCTATCTTGACCTCAATGTGGGTTGTTTCCAATTTTGAGCTGCTATAAAGAATGCTGCTATGTATATTTATGTTCAAATTTTGTGTGAATGTATATATGCTTTAGTCCTCTTGGGACTATATTTAAGAGTGGGATTGCTGGGTCGAACGATAACTCTGGTTAACTCTTGGATAAAATGCCAAACCATTTTCCACAACAGCTGTGCCATTCTATATTCCTACCAACAATAAATAAATGTTTCAATTTCTCGACACCCAAGTCAACTTTTTTATTACCTTTTTTTTAAAAAGATTTATTTATTTATACAAGAATCAGGGTACAGGCCAGATCTGCGGGAGGGTGAGAGGATTCACCAGAGACAGAGCCGGGAACAGAACAGGCAGATTGACTTAAATCCACTCTGAGGGGCGCAGTGGGCAAGGCAGGAGAGGTCTGCTGCACCATGTGTGTTGCTCCACTGCCGGTGGGGATCATACTGGCACTGCAGAGGCTGCAGACAGCTTCACAGCACTGTGCTCAACTGCCTGCACCACCAGAGAGGACTTTTTTTATTACCTATCTTTATAGCCTCATTAGTGGTTCATTTTATCACTTAAGCATATCCTCCACTTCTCCCCGACAAAATACTGGGTTTCCATCAGGACAACATCCAGTTGTGAGCTGGAGTTCCCTTGTATGAGCTCACAAGAGCTGAATATGCTCATCTCTGCCCAACTCCATACTCACTGACCCTGACAGCTTGAAATTGACTATGGTGGGAGTATTTACACCATTGGCATTAGCAAACACTTTAAAGCAGAGCAACCTTAACTTTTCTAGACTGTCAGTTGTTAAACATTCACCAGTACAACACAAACAGTATAATTGTACCCCTAACTCCTCAGTTTTCTTCCATTTTCTCTTTTCTTCAGCTTGCAAATCTACCATTTTCCTTACATACCTTCTAGTTTAATTAAAATTCTAGCTTTTTCCAAAGCTCGGTTCAACTCTTTTACACAAAGCTACTACCACCATTTCAATTGCCTTCATGATCTGATGATTCTAAGTTTCTATTCTGAATCCAGCCCTTACTCTTGAGCAGCCAGTCCTTATCTTTAACTGCCTATGGATGCATTTCTCAACTACATTAGATCCAACATTTAAAAACAGTTCTCAGTTGTCCTCTCCTGTGGTGGTCCATATCTAACTTGCTTTGTGGTGGCAATATTGGTCTTCAGTAGTTTTTGAATTCTACACTTATCTGCTAACAATTTGTGTTACAATGATAATAAGTAATGCTTATATTTTTATAAATGTACATTTTACTTGATGTGTATGAAGTACATTTGAAATGTTTCGATATTTATTTTTACTTATTTTTTCAAAATAGTTACTAAGTCTCAAACACTTAAAAAATTAAATACCAGTCTTGGCATTGACCTTTTGCTCTGATATTAATACTGCAACATTCAGCACCTCCTCAAGCCAAAAACTGGCCTTGACATCTATCTCTTAGTCCCCACATGTAATCTACAAGACCTACCTATTTTCTACTTCCAAAATATCTCTTGAATCAGTCCACTTCTCTCCATCCATACCACCAAGAAATAAGTCAAAATACAGTAACTTCTTATCTAGAGGAGTCTACTCACTGATCTCCTAGGCTCTGCTCCCTCTTCCCTTCTAAGACATTTTCCAGGGTACAGCCAGTGACCCATCTGAACTGCAAATAAGGTTGTACCACTGATACCCTCAAAGCAAACACCAGCTTCCCTGCAAAGTTTATAAGGGCATTTACTCCCTGGCCTCTGCTTATATCTCCAATGTTTCTTTATTCTGACCTTATGCCCCAGCCACCAGTTTACCTCAAAGTAATTCAATTAAAAAATCTTCACTAAGGGCCTCCCCTGGTGGCGCAGTGGTTGAGCGCTGGGTTGCGAGGCTGCCTGCAGCCTCTGCAGCGCCAGTTTGATCCCCTGCCACCGGCAAGGGTCCCACAAAAAAAAAAAAAAAATCTTCACTAAGTATAATGTGAAAGAATACAAATATGATTGTGGCAAGTCTGGCATATATACAGGGACCACAGAGTACAGCTGCATAGGTTGTACGCTGCACAATCCCTGGGAGTGCCACTAACATGCTAGTATAAAGGTACTATCTTATAAGATATATACACAATATAAGAATGCTGCAAATATATACATAGACATGATATCAGGTAGAAAGTGACAGATGAAAAATAACAAACTTTGGGCCTCCCCTGTGGCGCAGTGGTTGAGCGCTGGGTTGCAAAGCTGCCCGCAGCCTCTGCAGCGCAGGTTCGATCCCCGGCTGCTCCCCAGCCACCGGAGGAGGGTCCCACATGGCGCACAGACCTCTCCTGCCGCCCGCTGCTCCCCTCAGCAGTGTACTTCGGTCCTTCTGCCTGCTCTGCTCCCCGCTCTGGTGAATTCTCTCACCCTCCCGCGCTTCTGACTGTACCCAGTGCTTGTATAAATAAATAAATAAATAAATAAATAAATAAATAAATAAATAAATAAATCTTAAAAAAAAAAATCTTACTTTAAAAAAAAAAAATAACAAACTTTAAGAATGAAATACCTCCTTGATTTCTTTTTACCTCCAGTCCATACTCTGATCTCCTGGTTTACCTAGTTTGAAATTCAACACCTCTACCTCCAATCCCAGGGTGAATAATTAAAATCAATTTAAAAGAATTCCTCATCATGGGTGCATTATACTTTGATTTTGGAACAAGCATGCTGCTGCATGAGCATCTTCCTACTTGGCTTTTGGTTTTCCCACAGAGAGAAGCCCACGATCAGGACTCTCACCATGTCTTCTGTACATGTACAGCACCTACAGATGCCTTGGCCATGCAGACTAACTTCAGTAGTAAATGTGATGGCAACAGGGGCTGTATCTTGGCAGGACAACTTGGTGACGGAGGATGAGGGTAAGAGGACACTTATGCTTTTTGAATTGATTACCACGTAGATGAATTACCTATTCAAAAAAAAATTTTAAGTATTGTTTTTTTTTAAAGTGAATGCCTCCCTGAGAGTGAAACTTTTTTTTTTTTTAAAGCAGGATTCTTGGAGCTGGGTGCTCAGGGAGTGCCATGTGGGGGGAGGCGGCCACAGCATTGTGCCACCCCGGCCAGGAGCTAGCACTGCCATTGTGCTTCACAGATGACTCCCAACCATAGGGAAATGTTCTTTAGAGGATAAATTAGGAAATCAGGAAGCCTTAGTCTGCTGGTGGAGGAGGGGGTGACAGAAACAGTTTCTCTTATAGTCTTATCTCTGCAAAGGGACATTATCAGCTCTGGGTACTGATAAGTATCAAGTGTGAGTGCTATGAGCCAGAAAGGCTGAAAAGACACCTGGGTAGATGCCTCTTTTCCCATAAAATGAAATCTACATTGATGACTAATGGAGCTATTAATGCCAGCTTTGCGACTCTAGAAGTTCTGAATACAAATCCCAGCCCATTCTCTGGGACATCCCAGCCTCGGCCACTGCCACGTGTCACGAGCTGAGATTTGAACCCACCCTTCTGCCATCACAGGGGAAACTGAGGTGGGCGAGTACAGAATTAACTCTAGGACACCAGGCCTGCTCTGGCCAAACTCATCCTAATGGCAAACAGAAGCCTTGCTCTCGCTTAAGTCAGTTCTGCTGTGGCCTGGGGCCAAGATCTGGGAGCAGGGTTTGGGGGGAATGTACTTGGGCAGGTGATTTTAAAAAAGTTTTCCAACAGTAGAACAAGTTCCTGCACCAGCAGAGCCCAACCACTGTCCCATAAAGTTGAAATCTAGTCACTCTGGGCCTCATCTAACTTGACCTTCATTCTAGAAATAGCAAAGATACTTTTCTTTAAGTCTCTACACTTGTGAAGGAGCGCAGCAAGCAGATCCTCTTTGCTGCCCTTTACACCTTTTGAATTGCTTGCCTGTCTGTATTATCTGTTCAAAATATAAATTTAAACAGTGTCATCCTGCCCATGGCACTGATTCCTGCAGAGTGGCACACATTTATGACTGATCCTCTAAATGAAAGGGTCAGAAGAAAACCCAGAACCTTCTCACCCCACATGATGCCCCCCCAGCCCTGCACCACTTACATCTCCCAGTCCCTACTGAAACACCCTTTCCCAGGGCTTCTTGGAATGGTCCCTGATCCTTCTAGAACCTCTGTCCTCCACAACATTCATGGGTCGGATCATAAACCACCTTGTTTTGTTGATACCTCCCGGTTCTTCTCTCCAATTAGGTGGTAAATTCTCTGACTTGCATCTGTGTGATAGACAACCCCATGTCTAACTGTACTTTTCCCACAAACACACTTCCCCGCATGTTTTAGAGGATTTCTTATTGTTTATGAATTAAAGCAAGGTCTTATAATCCAAGCTTCAACCAGGTACAGCAATGCTGATAGACCTGACAGGTAGTTAAAGCTGTTGGTTAACTAAGAGATTAAAAGATCCAGAGACAGGGGAGTTTACTCTTTTAAGAGTGCTTAGCAGTAATTATACCTACACTTAATTTTTTAAAATTACAAACATGTTAGTAAACAAATTCAAGTAGTGATGTATAAGGTAGAAACTGAAAATTCTCCTTCACCTCTTGAAGCACCCCATTAAACGATGTGCTATCATCATGTCCCAGTACCTGTATCAGCCATAACAGCCCTAACAATTACTATACACAGGAATGCATTGTTGAACAAAAAAAATGTGTTGTCTCCCAGTTCTGGATGCCAGAAATCTGATGTCAAGTTGTGGATAGGGCTGATTCCTTCTAAGCTGTGAGGGAGAATCTGTTCCATGTCTCCCTCCTAGTTTCTGGTGATGGCCAGATATCCTTGGATTCCTTGGTTCCTGCTGGCCCAACTCCACTCTTCACATAGCATCTTTCCTATGTGTGTGTCTGTGTCCAAATAGCTCCTTTTTTAAAAAAAAAATTATTTGTTTATGCATACAAGAGCTGGGGTGTAGGCCAGAGACATGGGGAGGTGAGAGGATTCACCAGAGACAAAGTGGGGTGCATAATAGGCAGAGTGAATGAAATACATTGCTGAGGGGAGCAGCGGGCAAAACAGGACAGGTCTGCTGCACCATATGAGTCACCTCCCTGACCTGGAATCAAATTTGTGCTGCACACTATTTACAATAGCTAAGATTTGGAAACAACCCAAATGCCCAAAAATAGATGCCTGGATCAAGAAGATGTGGTACATGTACACCATGGAATATTACTCAGCGATCAAAAAAGATACACACATGCAATTTGCAGCAACATGGATGGCGCTAGAAGGGATCATGCTCAGCGAAATAAGCCAGAAAGAAAAAGAAAAATACTGGATGGTCTCACTCATAGCAGGAATCTAGAAAACTTAAATAAGGGACCAGGAAAAAGAATAACTATAAGAAAGAAAATATCAAAATCAACAAATAACTATGAACAAGAGACACTCTATGGGGGGTGGGGGGCAGGGAAAGGAGGGCTTGGGGTAAAAATAAGGGGGTTGTAATTGTATGGGGAATATAAAAATAAAATTTAAATTAAAAAAATTTGTGCTGCAGTAGCCGTGGATAGCTTCATAGTGCTGACACTTAACCCCTTGCGCTACCAGGGAAGCCCTAAATGTCTCCTTTGGATAAGGAGCCATGACTGACATCCTCTTAACTTGACTATGTCTGCAAAGACCCTATTTTCAAATAACATTTTGAGGTGCTGTGTGGTATGTCAGCGGTGGGGGCGGGGTGGGGGCACGGTAATCTCAGGTACAAATGAATGTTTGGAGGACACAATTCAACCCATACAGCACCCATTCCTCACATTTTCCATTTGGACTAGGAGCTGCTCATAGCTTGCTTGTAAAATCTGAGAATAACTTCTTTCGACAAACAATAAAAAATGTCAAAATAGAATCATGTTACCTCCTGTGCGGGAAATAAAATTAATGTTTATTAGACATCTCTCGTGGTTCTGAAACCTTGTAAGTTTTCTCCCTTTAATCTTCACAACCACCTAAAATTCCTTGAAATCAAAGACTATTGTGTCCATTGTCACGACCCCCCTTCTATAGTAGACCCAGCCCAGAGCTGCAATAGTCAGACAAGAAGCATTTGCTGAATCAATGAACTCCGTGGGGTAGATATTATTTCCCCCATATGAAGGGTGAAGAACCCAATTTGGAGCTACCCAGGCTCATGCCACAAAGTCACATGGCTGGTAAATAAGCTGCCTGTTTGGGAGTCAAGTCCAAGCCCTCCTGACTTTCAAAGCTCCTGCCCTTGCCCTAAACTGAAACCAGAGGTTCTCCAAGTGTGGTGGCAGGACACCAGCGACAAGAAACATAAGAAAGGTGAAGACACCTACAACTGGCCGGCCTCAGCAGGGCCTGCCTGCGAACTTGTCAGAAATGCAAATCTTGGGCCTCTTCGCTAACCACTAACCCATGAATCAGAACCTCTAGGGTGGGCTCAGCAATCTGGGTTCCAGCAGGTTCCAGCTAGCCCCACCTGTGACAGCTTGGAAGCACCTGTACTAATCTGGGAAGCTGGGTGGGTGAAGAATTAGAGATTGGCTTAGTCTTTTATTTATTTATTTATTTATTTATTTGAGTTTCCTATGCTGTTGCAGAATTTCCAGAAAACCCCTTCTACTCCAACCATCGTTGTTATTTCTTTATGCTTAAAAATTATATTACCCACTGTTTTTGAAAAGTAGAAAAGAGAGAGATAAGAGTGCCTAGAGGTAATTATTGAAATCTGAACTCTTTCTTCAAGTTTCTCTTCTCTGCGGGAAAAGATGTGGCATCGTGTAAGCAGCCCTGGTGAGCCACCACTGGTAACTCCTAAATTCAGCTTCAGCTTTTCCACTTAGCAACGAGGACAGACAGTCCTCTCGAGGGTAAGAGTGTGGCTGGAGAGCACAGCTGCTTGCTCTCTCGTATAGGACTGGCTAGATGCTTTGAAAGCTGCCAAAGGACTGAGGATCTTGTTGGCAGCTAGTGCCTGCCCAAGGAGGGAGAAACCAGGACCCCACCAGGTGGAGGCGGCCTGGGCAAGCTCCCACACAGGGTTCTGCATCTGGTCTTTGCCTGGACAGGGTTATAAGACTTTGCAGCAGAAAATCTGGAAGCACCCAAAACTAAACCAAGTGGCAGGGGGAGAGCAGTGCCATTACTGACCTGCAGCATTTTCCTTTGGGAAACTTTAATATTGTTCATTGTGAAAAGGGAGGTAGGATCAGCAGAAGGGGAGCTAGAGAAACGAGTGCCATCTAAAGCAGGTTGCTCGACCTCAAGCCATTTGCCTGACTTCACGTTCTCAGATGTCTTCTGCTGCAAGGCAGAAGGTGGAGAGCTCCTTTATTTGGAACTAAAATTGGTAGCAGGGTTCCTTTGTTCCTTCCCACACCCCCCCAACCACCCTGCACCCAACAGTGCCTAAGGCACATTAAGACTCAAAGGGTTCCCCTGGGGCCATCCTGGAGCACCACATTGGGAACTGAGTCCACAGCAGCCTTTCACTCTGCCAAAGCAGAGATGGGACCTGGGACCAAGCATGAAACGAAGGCAAAATGCCATTCTCCTGAATATTCAGGAAGGCCTCAGATGATCCTTCTGCTCGCTAGCAGTCACAGGAGGAAAGGAGACAGCTCTTCCTACTTCTTTATTTTTATACTTACTGATAAACAAACAACTTGCTCTTTCCTCCCACTCTAAGCAGTGCCAGTGTCTGTAAAGGCTAATAGATAGTAATTAACATCCTATCCTTGCTACTTCAATTGGAGACCAAAGGAAATTACTCTAGATGATAAAATAAAATATATTTCACTTCTACTCTGGTGTGTGTGTATTTATGGACATCATCCCCCTAACCCAATAAGCTGCAAGTTCCTTGAGGTTAGTGTTGGGTCGATTTGTCCCAAATTCCTAGCTGCAT